TATATATATATATAATTCCTTCGCACGTGCAAGTACGGACTTACACGCAAGCAGCCAACAAACCTACAATAGGCTACGGAGTTCCCGCTCCCAACTCCTGAAGTCAACTCCATGGGGAGCGCCAGTACACGGAAGCTTACGCGTACTTCCCGGCGTCGCATAGGTAAAAAAAACGAATGTAGCAACTGCCGTCCTTCCATGCGTTCATGGCACAGGCTGTAAATAAGGTCAAAGTTTGAGGGCAATAAGAAACTATGATCACGAGGATCTCGTCGGCGCAATGCACGATAAAATCGGCGAGGAACCAATCCTGTTGTCGATAATCCCGTCGCCGACCAAAAAATCGGGGCCCTAATTCTTGCATTAGTCGAACTGAAACTGTAATTAAGATTTAACGAGTTGAACAGTGTATTTTAACACGTTGCAGTAATTCATTGGACCGGAAGGCTGCGCTGTGTTTGGATGGCAGAGCCTGTTTTCAGTAGCAGGACTGCTCACTACCGGCTCAAAAGGAGAAAAAAACACAGAATTTTAGCTAAATGGTTTTTCCTTTTAAAAGTCTCTTTTTTATTTCATTTCTTTTCACCTGTGACCGCTTTTATCCGAGGGGCGAGCAATGAACTATAGCGGGGAAGCTCTCCTCGTTTCAGAGAGAGAGAGAGAGAGAGTGTGTGCCGAGAGGGAGAGCGGAGAGGGAGGAGTGAGTGAGGAAGGAGTGCTGGTTCTTTTTTTGGTTCTTGTTTGAGGTATTAAACCAGCATAGGATGATGATTTAATGCTTACAATTGTGAGAAATTTCAAAGATCTAGTGTGTTAGGGGATTTTTTCTAATACTTTCTATTGTTTATGGGCGTAGGAGATTGTACTGAGAGAAAAGCTGCGATTTTTTGGTGTTTCGGGTTTTGAAATCTGCATAGGAGGAGGATTTCGTTTCCCTTTTATGATAAATATTAGGGTTTCTGCCTGCGGTGAAGGGGAGTGAGGGCGGCGGACTGGAGATGAAGAGATTGTTTTGAAACGTTTGTGAGAAGTAAGCTGGTTGTTTCTGTTTACAACCTGGGGTTTGAAATTGGGGGAGAAAAGCTTCAGTATGTGTGAAATTTCGGCCATTTAGTCGAATTAAGAGGATATTTCTGTTCTTCATCCTTAGCTTGCTCGGATTACGCCGGAGAAAAAGGTGAGGGATCTGCAAAATTTTTCATTTCAGTTTGTTTCTTTTCTCTTTTTGTGATATTTTTGTAGACAGTTTGAAAGAAGGCCATTTACATCCTCTTTTTTGTTACATTTTTGTTTACTAGAATTCAAAGCTTCTGCCATGGCTCTCATTATTTTGATTTTTTTGTTGCAGAAAATTGTTGTTCAATACGGTAATTTGGACAGGAAAAATGAAAGAGAATAATTTTCCTTCTGAAGAGGTAAAAAGCTTTCTCCTTTTTTTTTTGGGCAGACGAAAAAAATACTGTTTTTGCTTTGTATTTTAGTTTCTGAAGCTCTAAATTCAGGATTTATGCACACATTTACAGTTGTATATGGGTCCATATAGACATAAATAGTTGTAAATTTATGCTTTTGTGAATTTTTGAAGGAAGCAAAGGACACTGAGAAGTTCTTGGACTCCCAGTTGTGGCATGCTTGTGCTGGTGGAATGGTTCAGATGCCATCAGTGAATTCTAAGGTATACTATTTCCCTCAGGGCCATGCTGAACACGCTCAAACTCCCGTGGATTTCGGTACTTCTGTGAGAATTCCTCCTCTGATTCTTTGCCGTGTGCTCTCCGTCAAATTCATGGCCGATTCTGTCACTGATGAGGTATTTGCCAAAATACAATTGATTCCCCTGAAGAGTAACGAGCCGGATTACAACGAAGAAGATGAACTCGTTTTAGGCAACAATGGCTCAGATTTGCAAGAAAAGCTTGCATCTTTTGCAAAGACTTTAACTCAATCTGATGCCAACAATGGTGGTGGTTTCTCCGTTCCAAGATACTGTGCAGAAACTATTTTCCCAAGACTGGATTACTCAGCTGACCCACCTGTCCAAACAGTGCTAGCTAAGGACGTTCATGGCAAAGTTTGGAAATTCAGGCATATCTACAGAGGCACACCTCGCCGCCATTTGCTCACCACTGGTTGGAGCAACTTTGTCAATGAGAAGAAGCTTGTGGCGGGTGATTCGATTGTGTTCTTGAGGACTGAGAATGGTGATCTCTGTGTGGGGATCAGAAGAGCAAAGAGAGGAATTGGAGGTGGGCCAGAGATGTCCACAGGCTGGAATCCACCTGCAGGAAACTGTATGTACGGAGGATTCTCTGTTTTCTTAAGGGAGGATGAGAGCAAGTTTAATAGAAGCAATGGAAATGGAGGCAGGATCAGTTCTGGTTCAAGTATGAGGGGAAGAGGTAAAGTGAAGGCGGATTCTGTGATGGAGGCCTCGGCTTCTGCCGCCAGAGGGCAGCCATTTAAAGTTATTTACTATCCTCGAGCGAGCACGCCGGAGTTTTGTGTGAAGGCGTCGGCAGTGAGAGCGGCGATGAGGATCCAGTGGTGTTCCGGCATGCGATTTAAGATGGCTTTTGAAACTGAGGATTCTTCGAGGATAAGTTGGTTTATGGGCACTATATCTGCTGTTCATGTTGCTGATCTTTTGAGGTGGCCTGGATCACCTTGGAGGCTTCTTCAGGTATTTCACTTGACTTATAAAACACCATTATTCATGCTCTTAATTTGGTTTATGTATAAGTAGTCTAATCTATATGTTTATTGTAGTTGATATATTTCTTTGTTTGTCTTGTCTTCTTAATGTTTTTGTTTTGGTTTCCTATAGTTGGAAGATTCTTAGTAATTTAAATTGTGTGAAGAACTAAATGCTTTTTGGTTAATTTTGTTTAGAAACAAATGATATTCTAGCGCATAGTTAAAATACATAGCAAACATTTTTTATGTATTTACATATCTCACATGATATTTACATACATAGTGCTATGTTGCTTTAAACCTATTCGTGAAAAAGTGCATTTCACTTTTAACAAGTGATAATAATGCAATTTTTTGTGATATTTAAGATTTGAGTGCCGTGTGTAAATATGAAATTTTGGGCGTGAGATATGTAAATACATAAGAATTGTGTACTAGGTATGTAAATGCCCCTATTTTTCTTAAGAACTGCACAAAGTTTAAATTGAACGTTATTTTATTATCCAACATTTGTCAAATTAACACATATTTTCATGTAGTCAATTACAATTATGCTATACTCTTGATATGAGTTGATGCACTATGATATTATGAACATGTGATATAAGTAGACAAATGTCACATGGTAACTCTAAGATGCCATTTATCATATCTTAAGTCAACAAACTATGACTTCAAATTTTATAATCTAGTTTTATCTTAAACTGTTCCACAGGTTTCATGGGATGAGCCCGATCTTTTGCAAAATGTAAAGCGAGTGAGCCCGTGGTTGGTAGAACTCGTGTCGAACATGCCCGCCATCCACCTAGCTCCGCCCTTCTCACCTCCGCGAAAAAAACCTCGACTCCCTCATCCCGAGTTCTCACTAGATGTTCCGCTCTCAACCTCACCATTTACAGAAAACACCCTCATTCCCAGCAGCAGCCCGTTGTGTTGTCTTCCCGACAACGCCGCCGCCGTTGTTGGCATACAGGGACCCAGGCATAGTCAGTATGGAGCAAATCTACCAGAACTCCGCTTCGGAAAGTTGCACTCTGGCTTGTTCCATACTGGATTTCATCGGCTCGATCACTTCGCGCCGTCGCATCGAATCTCTACAGGCCTCCTTGTTCCGAATTCGTCTGTTCGTGAGGACGTGTCCTGCTTGTTAACTATTGGGAATGCTTCTCAGAATGCGATTAAACCCAAGTTTATGCTGTTTGGAAAACCCATAATCACCGAAGAACAGCTCTCTCTCAGCCCTAACAACTCGAATTCCGACAAGACGACGAATTTATCATATGGTTCGGGATCTTCAATTCTTCAAAATGGAACGGGGGATAATAATTCATCTTCTGAAGGTCCTGTTTGGTATCGGGATCGAAAACCGAGTGAACTCGGTCCATGCAAGTTATTTATCGAATCAGAAGATGTAGGACAGACGCTCGATCTTTCCTCCTTTGGTTCGTATGAGGAGTTGTATAGAAGATTAGCTAACATGTTCGGGCTTGAGAAGGCAGAGTTGAACAGCCGTCTTCTTTATCGAGATATTGCCGGTGTTGTCAAGCACACTGGAGACGAGCCTTTTGCGTAAGTTTCCATTTTAAATCAATAGATTTATGTTACTTCATCTAGGAGTGTAAACGAGACGAACTTGAGCTAACCCAAGCATTGTTCTGCTCTCGCTCAAGCTCGACTCGTCAAGTAGATGAGTCATAATTTCTTACATTTATTTGGCTATAGTTAATATATCAAACTAAACACGGATTGTCCAAGTACATAAAGCCTCCTTGAAAGTCATATATAAATTATATAATACTTGTGTCATATTATGTATATTTATAAGAGTACAAAGGGAAAAAAACATTCTTAGCACAAAATTTTCATGTATTTATATATCTCACACCAAAATTTCCATTGTACATGCATGACTCGTAGGTGCTTTAAACCTATGCATGAAAAATCTGTATTTTACTTTTAGAAAAGTCATAAAAGTACAATTTTTGAAGTTATGTTAAAAAAATTGAATTTTGTGCGTAAATATCGATGTTTAGCTTAGAGATACGTCAATACATAAGAGTTATGTTCTACGTACGTAAATGCCCAAAGTATAAAATGCATGAATTTGTAAATAGACCTGTGTTAAGAAAGGCAAAGGTAGACCTAGGAAGACTTGGGTTTATTGTATAAAAATGATGTTAATTTACTAGAACTACATGTAATATGACACCTAAATAGGACGCAATGGAAAAGAAGGATTCATGTAGCCGACCCCACATAGTGGGATTAAGGCTTTGTTGTTGTTGTTGTGTTGTTGTCGTGTATAAAAATGTCTTTTTGTTCTCCCTATATAAACCTAAACAAGCTAATTCCAAACAGAGTATATGATCGAACGGAGCTTTATTCGTGTTTAGCTCATAAGAGAGTCGAAAATGAAACAACGAACTTTTTTGACAGCATTATTATTGAACATAACTTTCATTTATATTGATTGATTTATGGTGGTTCATGCGCAGTGAATTCATGAAGGCCGCAAGGAGGCTAACAATATTCATGGATTCCGGCAGCGACAACATCGGCAAGTTGTAGGAGAAGAATTCTCTCTTCAAATATGCAGAGTTTGGAGGAACAGTTTCTTCAAAGTTTTAGAGAGAGAGATGATTAAGAGATGATTAGTTATTTTTAAGCATTTTTATGTGTCATTTTGAACTTGTGGAGGGCTTTGCATATGAACCTGTTATTTCATTCTGCTTAATTAAGTTTCTGTAGCTTGATTAATTTTTTGCCTAGTTAATTATGTTTAATTTAATTAGCTTTTTTCTTAAACCAAATCTTAAATTATTGATTTTGTTTTTTTTTTTTAATTAAGCTGAAAAATGATTGCATCGATTTCATTTTATATTGAAGTATAATGGTTTCTATGATATTTTGCTTTGTTTTTTATTTTTTTTAATCATAATATGGGCATGAATGGTATGATTTTTTGATTGAGCCAAGTTTAAAATTTATTAATATCATAAAAATGTGTTTTTTTAATCATGGGAATTTATATATAATATTTTATTGTAATTACATCAAAATATATGGATAAATAGGTATATATAATTTAAAATTTTAGTATTAATGATTGTGAACTTGTATGGTATGGATGTATAAATCATATTTTATTAAATTTAATACCAATTTGTATATATATATATATAT